GCTATTTTAGCCTTTTTAAAAGTTCAATTCTAGAAGCTAAATGTCAAATCAACACATGAAACAGTTTGAAAAGTACGATTTAAAGTGTTAGATACAGTTCACTGAAGTAAGAGGTTTAAACTGTGGTTTCTGCTATTCTGTTTAGAGAGATTAAGCCATACAAATCATGTTACATGTAATTAAAACATGAACAAATATCAATGAATCCTTTCCCATTAACAAACTTAGAGCTTTTCTAAAGCAACACATTGCCTGTTCTAGGCTTTTAGTGTGAAAGTCTTCAGAAATAGGAAGCTGTTCCTGTAAAATCCAAGCTTCCATTATCTTTCACCAAGAATTCTCAAAGGATCTTTATCTCTTTCATCCACATTTTGTTCTCCTAAATCTGCTAAACCAAATAACTTCTCTCAGTTAACGGGGGCCGCGGGTTCGATACCTCAAGGCTCCCTGAAGCAGGCGAAGCGGGAGGCTGATGGTGAGTGCCGAGGTCAAAAGTCACACTCTATCACTCTAAGCTCACCGCTCAACAGACAACATCAACGCCGCAAATGGATGTTACAGGATCAAGTGCTGATCTGTGAGTGTGTGTGTGTGCTTCAGCGTGTATATGTGTGTAAAGTGGGGGTCGTGACCTCCATGTAAGGCCCGGCCATTAAAGTGGAAGGGTGATGGTCATACGGAGGAGGAGGGAGGGAGGACGAAGAGGCGTGTTCTGGGTAATTAGAGCTCAGCCCCCTCGTACGCCCCGACACTCTACGGCAATTTATTGCCCCACTCGGGCAACTTGTCCACCCATCTAATTGCAATATTAGCGCGTAATAGAGGCGGTGTTGCGGCGATCCGTCAGCGTAACAGTTCTGCCGCCTCGGCAGGATCTCGGCCATTAACGGAGGAAACAAAGCGACCTCTGAGAGGAGCATCAGCGCACATCTATATGCACACGCACACACACACAATCCTGCTTTTTAGAAGAGACCCCATTAAAGGTTCAGTTGGCCACAAAAACATCTTTCTCTCTTTTTTCTGATATTTCTGTCTCCCACAAACATTTATGATATTTAGTGAAATAATGTACATTATCGGCCCTGCGACTGACTGCCGACCAGTCCAGGGTGTACCCCGTCTCTCACCCAATGTTAGCTGGGATGGACTACACCCCCCCAGCGACCCTCTAAAGATAAGCGGTAGAGAAGATGAATGACTGACTGACTATCCATTCTCACTACTTTTTATATTGTTCTTTAACATTTAGTTATAATTCATGATATCTCTACTTTTATTGAATTTTTCATTGTTATAATACTTCTATTTTATTATTTATTTATCTTTTCTACATTTTTAAAATCATTTTTACTTTCTATTTTTTTACTTTATAATTTTAAACTTTTTATTATTTGCAATATGATATCCTAATAATATAATTTCAGTTTGTTGTTACAAACTAAAAAAAAGGTAAAAAATAATATATGTTCTTTTAAATCAGTGGGTTTTTTATTTTCAATGGTATATTATTAAAAAAATAAATGCAAACGGGATGTTCCTAACATCTGGTTTAACCTGCTGTTATTAACACACTGGCCTCGAAAGCATAAAACCCAAACTTCAGTCAGGAGGTCAAAGGTCACAGCCGAGAGATCAGGCAACGCTCACAGATCAAGGAAAGCTAATAAAACAGAGAAAGCGCTTTGTGTTAAATGATGATGCATGAAGATCTGTGTGTGTGTGCGTGTAGGTGTGTGTGTGTGTGTGTGTGTGTGTGTGTGTGTGTGTGTGTGCGTGTGTGTGTGTGTGAAACTATGTGTCTGTGTGTCAGATTGATTTATTTCAGCGAGACGTGAATTCACAACATTAAACCGCTTTACTATAGCTACTGAGCTACATCATTTGCATGATGATGGGTCACTAAACACAGTAAAATACCACACACACACAAACACACACATTTCGCAAATATAACTATCTATATGTGTGTGTGTTTGTGTGTGTGTGGGAGTGGTTTAAGTGTGTATCAGAGCGGTCGCAGTAATAAATCCTGCATTTCTTAACAGGCGCTAAAATGCAGAAAAACAAGCGGAATTGCAATAAATCACAGTGTGCGTGTGTGCACATGCGTGTGTGTGTGTGTTTGTGTGGACCCGTGTCGGTGTCCTGTCGTGTCCTAATTGAAGCGGCGGAGCTGCACAGGATTTGGAGGTTTGTTCTGTGGCCGACGTGGAGGTGTGAAGAGGAACGAGGTAGCGCTGCAGCGGACCGGAGGACACGCCACCTAATCACTACACAGCACCACTTTACCGTCATCTTCTAGACTAACACGTCTGAGTTTTATGTTTAAAATAATTAATGAATTCTACTGTATATAAACCACGTTCTGTATAAAGTATTACAAGTATACACATTTTGCACTACTTAAACTCAGCATTTTCTCGTACTTTTATATTCTTTGTAGTGACGAACTGGAGGGAGTCACTGACGCTCTACCCAGCGGTACCCATAATGCTTTGTGTTGGGGAAAGAGGGTGGGGGTTATAAAGTCCATCTCATGTGTGACAGAACACACAGAGGTGAGAAGGCCTCTAAAAACACCCATCAAACACACAGAGAACACAACACACAGTCCGAGGTGACAGAGAGCGTGTGTGTGTGTGTGTGTATTCCCTTTCTGGCATGTATGAACACGTGTATATACATTTCCTCTAGTATGTAGAGAAAGCGTGTCTGCATTCATACTGTACGAGCGTGTGCGTCCCCTCTGTGTGTTTGTGTGTGTCTCTCCTGGCGGTAGTCCAAGGCCTCTCTAACGAGCCAACATGGAGATAATACTCCCCCCCCTCCCCCCACTCTCCCTCCTGACCCCCTCCGAGGTCATTGGCTCCCACCACCGCGACCCGGCCAATCACAGCCGGGCGCTGTGACGGACAGCCGCCGACTCCAAGGACACCAAGGGCAGAGGGATTAGACGGCGAGGACGAGCGCCACGTTAATAAAGAATTGTGATGCTGGATAAAGTTTTTTAATTTTTTTTTTGGAGCCGTCTGACGGGTTGTCAAAGGTGTTTCATTATTATTTTATGCGGCATTTGATGAAAAATAAGTGACTGTTGGGTTTTGAAAATGTATAACAGAGGAAATGGAGCAGGTTTGGTTTCTATTGTCTAACTAAAAAGGATACAACAGAGGTTTTGATGTAGGAGGGGTGAGGTGTCCTTAAAAGGTACAGCTGCATGCTGATCGTCGGTAACTAGTTTGGCTAACTAAACTAACTTATACCTAAATACCCATACATCGCTCTCATTTCCTGAGGATGTTATTGTCTCTCAGGTCCGTCCCCAATAAACGTCCCCAAATCCACTCAGACGTCACCAAAACCACACGCTGCAGAACCCTAACCCTCAGAACCACCATTTTTTGCTCTTCTTTAGTTTCAGAGTAGATTAGGTGAGTGTGTGAGTTTCCTGCTAACAGGAGATGCCAACAAGACATTTGACTGAATGGAAACCAATAGGTTTAAACTCCATGGCAATGTTTGTTTAGTTGCCCCAAAGCGTTACAGAAACCATAAACCTGTTTCCCTTATCAGTCAAACGACTCTTCTGGCCCCATACAAGTCTATGGGAAATATACTCTCTTCTCTCCTGATTCATTCCCTCAGTAAACATTGTAGATATGAGTTTCTGGTCTCAATCTCTAGTTTCAAGTCTTCTTCAATACAGCAGGATGTTCATTTAGTAAATTAGCAATATGCAGACGATTAAACAATCTGAAAATATGTGGACATGAATGAGCCCTAATAATAATATGTTTCTTACAGAAATAATCAACTAGTCACATTCTGAAACCCGAAACTCCAACATCCTGAAGTTTTATTCGGTGTTTGACGAAACATCAAATCTCAAACTGCAGCGCGGAAACGACGCTTATGCAACGGGTGTTGATTAAAACATTCACACAGCGAGAGGTGAGGAAGTGAGGAAGAAAAACAACTAACAGAATTGTGAGAACGAACCAGAGATGATCAAACATCAAGTCCACGCAAGCTGAGATTTAATTGAGGAATTAACTGAAACCGGGAAGGATCCATTTGTCCACTTCTCGCCTCGCTAGATACATGGAATAGTCTGCTTTTCCATTCTCATCCAGATAGGGAAGTTCCTAAAATAAAAGGTCGACACCTGCCTGGATGTAAATGAACCTGAGAGTTGCGGTATGAACCGAGGAACTCCACGAGTGAATCATGACACAGTGTGTCTGTGTTAAAGCAGGAAGAGAGACGGACAGGTCCACGTCGTGGAGAGAGAGAGAGATAGACAGGCAGGCAGACAGAGGGGGAGAGAGAGACATGTCCACAGACAGGTGTGGGGTCAGATGTGCTCCTACCTGTCGATGATGACGGGGTCGGAGGGCGTCTCGTTGCGATTCCCGCAGCTTTTCTTGTCACAACACCGACTGGAAGAGAGAGAAAGAACAACGGGAGTCACACAGGGACTGAAGTTAGCATTGCTGCTAATGTAGCATCCACTAAAACAGCTGGGACGATATCATTTCAGATTTAATTTTCACTTTCAATTTTCACATTCATGCTTCAAAGAAAAAGTGACGCTGACCCTAAAACGGACTTCAATGTATCAGCGGTAATATAATGTAATATATAATGGATGAAAGCCAAACTACTTTTTAAAGTAAATAACATTTTATGTATATTTCCAAGTCACTCTATCTCTAATTCAGTCTGCACACACTTTTAAACCCCGGCCCATTTGGATTTATTAGTATTGAAATAGATCTGACTTTAAATAAAAGCAAAGATTTATAAGCTGGTTCAAAAAGTTTGATAACTACGTCACAACGTTGTCCCCATTTCCCCTTAAATTACAAACAGATGACATCATTCTCTCCAGGACATTTTCACGGGATCGGGAAATTACAAAGCTGCAAAGGTAAAGTGTCACAAAATGATTTTATTTTGTAAAGCAAAGCCCTCTTTTCCCTGCACTCTGTCTCACTGTCTCTCCGTCTCTGTCCAGCTGGGTGGGGTCCAAACCAAGGTCACTAACAGTTGGACGACGCCCAGCAATGCGGGCACCACTGTGGACCCCCCACCCCCCAAACCCCAACCCTCTATGCCATCGCCCCTAACAACCAGCCAGCCAACCGGCAGCTGCTCGCCAAACCAGCCGTCCAGGTAGCCAGAGGACAAACCGGCGCTCCGCCTCCGACATAAAACCGACCCGGAGTCAGTTGAGGCATCTGGAGGGGGCGCGGCTCGGGCCCCGCAGGGCGGGTGTGTTTTTGGGGGTGGGAGGGTGTAAGTGTGGCATGTCGAACAGCAGCAGACTGAATCCAATGCATTAATATCCATCAGAGGGAAGGGAAGTGTTTGGTGTCCAACGGCGGGGTGAAGTCAGTGAACGCACCACGGAGATCGGCGAGCATTACAGAGTACATTATATATTTAAAATTTAAGTTCAGTACACTTCTGAGGTAGTTATATATATATATATATATATGTAATTATCGTGTTTACCAACGGTAAAAGTAAGGTTTGACCCGCTGATTAACATAATTAATGGAAACAAGGACGAAGTTGACATATATAATGTAATATAATGTATATTATATTACAAACTAAATATTAAAAAAAAAATCAAAACATTCATTTACAATTCAATTCATTTTGAACAAATAAATAGTTTACATGAGACGGAGGACAGCATTGTTAACCGTCTGTTACGTAACAGAAGAGAAATATTCACATGTTTTATCAGAAAAGTGAGAGATTTTTCAGAATGAATTAAAACATTGTCCATTGTTGACAACAAAGCCTCTCTTTCTTATTAGCATATCTTCCGGTGATTCTTGAAAAATTAATCGGGACGTCCAATTGTGAACCCCCCCCCCCCCTTCCGCCATCACTCTGTCCCGAATCAAATTGCCATTCGACAAACAAGCGTAAAAAATGCCAAACGAGGCGCTTCATGAATCATTTATCGCCACGTTTGATCCCGTAAGTGGAGAAAAATCAGAAACTAAGCGCCCTGTTTGTGTCCCCCCTCTCTCTTTTTCTCCCCCCCTCTCTCTCGCCCGTATAGATGTGTGTGTGTGTGTGTGACTGTTGCCATAGAACGCGCCACAATAATTTATTCCCCCAGCTACTTGGAACCATTAGTGAAAGTTCCAGGAGACCAATTAGCATTGGAAACCCACTGGTGCCGCTGTGGTGACAACCTCCTCCAAACTGCCAAAGAAGTGTTATAAACAAACTGGACCCCAGGAGCACAGCCGGGGCCCCTCCAGGGACCTGGGGCCCTTTTTTCCAAAAGACAAAAACAAACCTTGGCTGAGCGTCCACAATATCGCCTTAATGACGTTTCCCCCCGGGCCGGCGAGCAGGCTAACGCCGCGGCCGGCTAATGACTGAGAGCAACAACACACACGGACCTGAGAGAGTGAATGTGTGTGTGTTTGTGACGCTAAAAAAAAACTGTGAATGTAAAGCAGTGCTGTGTTATCACACAAATAAAAAAAAAAAAAGCCCCTACAGAGGTTCTCCCCGGAGGACGGTGTGGCGCCGGGCGTCGGAGCCACGGCCGTCGCTCGGATCACAAGCGTCCAGATAACGCAGAGCGCCCGGCTCGCTTTCAAAGGGCAAGCGCTGTAATTACCTGAAGGCCTGGAACGCCTCGCCCACAGCCAGCCAGAGCCAGAAAGTGAGAGCCAAAGAGAGAGAGAGAGAGAGAGAGAGAGAACCAGAGCCCGGCCTGGACGCATCCCTTCCCTCCTCCTCGCCATTGCCCGGAGCCTGGCAGCGAGCGAGAGGAGAACCCGAGGCTGCCGCGAGGCCTCCGGGATCCCCGCTGGCAACGCCGGCGTGCCAACCTGGCCGCTCGCTGGGTTGTGATTGGTGGGGAGGGGGGTGTTTTGGAAAGCGGCGGGGTCCCGTTTAAGAACGGTTAAATGCCCCTCCGTGATGTGATGGAGAGGTCACGGCAGGAACACACACACACACACACATAAAGAATAAATAAAGGATTTCTAGAATGTGACACGTCTCTGAAACAAACTGCAAAGCATCGTAGTTTAAAGTAAAACGTCACATTTCTGAGAGAAATTGTGTTTGTGTCCGAATGTGTTTACCAAATATCTAACGGCCCGCCGCTCTCTTTCTGAGCGCTAACCGCTAATCGCAAACAGCTAACCCATCTGCCAAACTGCTTGTTCCTCCCTCACTGAGAGGAGCACTCGACTAGATCTCGACTCCTCGCTGTCCTTGCTCCGAAATGGTGGAACGAGCTCTCTGAAGACACCAGGACCGCAGAGAGCCTTCACATCTTCCGCCGCAAACTAAAGACACACCTTTTCAGACTCCACCTCGACTTAAACACTAACAAATCGTAGCACTTAAATTGTAATGGCTCTTATCTATAGCAAGTTGTAAATCGGCTTATTTAATGAAATTACACATTCTTGTTTCTTGTTCTTTTGAGTTTGTATCCTTATGGTTGAAATGCACTTATTGTAAGTCGCTTTGGATAAAAGCGTCAGCTAAATGACATGTAATGTAATGTGATGTAACAGCTTCATGCACTGGTTTGATTATTTGCCGTTTCATGCCAAGGAAAGGTTCCGTGTTTACAGCACAGCTCGCTCGGAGCGTTCAATGTCGGTACTCAGTTTCAATCACTGAATGAAGCCGGCTTTACTTCATTCATAATTTACTTATTTTTGTGTAGGTAATATGTTGTTAAATATGTTTAAACTTAACAATAAATTGTCTATAGAAGTAGTTATGTCTCGTTGCATTAATGTGTCCTGTTATTGACGTGTCTAATGCGCAAACAGATATTCCAATACATTCGAATATATGTTTTTTTTTAAAGCGAATATTCGAACGTCATTTTTGAGCAAATTTAACAGTCCTACTCTACAGAGATATATATGCATCGTGTTATAACAGACATCCAATATATATCTCTCTACAGAGATATATATGGGAAGTTCGTTTGTCATTCTGTTGGTCGAGCGCCACTCCAGCCAGTCGGGGTGCTCCGCCCAGGTGTGATGCAGGTAGAAGAACCAACAGGGATGCCCGGAGAGACGTCCTCACCTGGGAGACGGAGAGACGCTCCCCAATCCCTCCCTCATTAGCGAATGGAAACAAGGCCTCCGTCGGGGGAGGGGGGGGGTAATAATTGCACTCAATCACATAATGACTGAAGCTCACAGTTAACATATTTACCACTTTGGTGCTGACAAACCAACTTACGGGTAAGAATAGGTAAGAACAGTTTACTGAACAATAACACCAGTTTACCACAGAGAAAAACCAGTCTACTCAATCACCACGCCAGTATACTGCAGGTACCAGTTAACGTGTGATCCAGTGCACTGGTTGGTTCCCCCTTATTGGTCAGATACTTCAGGCAGATGAAGGACGGTATATTTGATGCATCTGGAACCATTTTGCTGGCAATCAAGTTGACTAAAAATCAACATATTTTATTGTCTTCACGCAGCTCAAAAAAACGCACACACACACGCCAAGCGACTCCAGCTTTAAACATGTGTTCGTTTGTTACGTGTGTGAGTGTGTGTATTTTTAATCCCCCTCCCCCACTCTTCTTCTTCTTCTTCACTCCTCAGACTGCACCAGTAAAACCATTAACTCTCAGACAACAGCAGAGACAAACAAGAAGGAAACGTGTTGATTGGTGTGATGAGGACAAACCAACAGCTGCTCTGTGTCTTACAGACACACACACACACACACACACACACACCACACAAACACCTTCTGTATGTCTCATCCACAAAATGATTATTATCACTAATAATATAATCTCAAGAAAAGACAAGAGTTGAATAAAGTAGTGCTGCTATTATTTATATTATTTGTATAACTAGCATTATGGTCATAATTGTAATTATTTGTATTAGTATAATTTCTATTATGTTAGAGTTTATATCAAATTCATTCATTCTCACTTATTAAATTAGCATGAAGATGATGGGATGATGTATTTTTGGTGTAATAATTTTTGGTTTGCTGAAATACTTTCTGTGCTTGTTGTGCCATGATTATACCACATCAAGCTCTGCGCACAGCAAAACGCACAGCAAACACACAGCAAACACACAGCAAGTACACAGCTAACACACAGCTAACACACAGCTAACACACAGCAAGCACACAGCTAACACACAGCTAACACACCGCTAACACACAGCAAGCACAGAGCTAACACACAGCTAACACACAGCAAACACACAGCTAACACACAGCAAGCACACAGCTAACACATAGCTAACACACAGCAAACGCACAGCTAACACACAGCAAGCACAGAGCTAACACACAGCTAACACACAGCAAACACACAGCTAACACACAGCAAGCACACAGCTAACACATAGCTAACACACAGCAAGCACACAGCTAACACACAGCTAACACACCGCTAACACACAGCAAGCACACAGCGAACACATAGCTAACACACAGCAAACACACAGCTAACACACAGCAAGCACACAGCGAACACATAGCTAACACACAGCAAACGCACAGCTAACACACAGCAAACACACAGCTAACACACAGCAAGCACACAGCGAACACATAGCTAACACACAGCAAACACACAGCTAACACACAGCAAACACACAGCGAACACAAAGCGAACGCACAACTAACACAGGTCTTTACATGCACTAGTGATGTGTCGTTTGTGAGTCCTCTCAAAAAAAGATTAGTTCATTTTCTCGTGGCCACGCATCGGGACTTGCATAGGCTCAATGAACGAATCATTGACCGAAGCCCCCCCCCTTCAACAAATGACTCGAAGAAAGATTCGTTCATTTTACTGAACGAGATTCAAAGAACCGAGTCGGTAAAAAGATCCGAACTTCCCATCACTAACCTGCACATGATCTCGTGGGTGAGGAGGACGCGACACATCTCCGGGTTCTTGTCCTGACCTTCGTAGAGGATGGGCTGGTGGGACGGAAGACAGAAGGCTTATTTAGTGAAAACAAAAACACCTTGATCTGAGGTGAACTTTAAGATTTTACTTTACGGTAATTATAAGTCAATGTGAACCAGTTTAATGTCATCGTGAACCAGTTTAGGGTCCATGTAAACCAGTTTAGTGTCCTTTAGACCGGTTGAGTGAACGCGCAAACCAGTTTAGCAAACGTGTAAATCAGTTGGGTGACTTTGTAAACCAGTTTAGTTTCCTCGTAAACCAGTTTAGTGAACATCTACACTAGTTAAAAAGAAGGAGGAATCAGCACACATGAAAACCAGCTTACTGTAACTGGGACCAGTTCCCAGTTCTTAGCCGTGTGGTTTTATGCACTAATGAGACATGAGTATATGTGTTGATGCGTGCAGGTGTTGCCCCCGCTCCTCCTCCTCCTCCTCTCTGATTGGACGTCGGCACCAACAACAACAAAGTCAAACATGGCCTCCAACCACCACCTGCCCTCTTGGTGGTCTCAGCCTCCTCCGGCCCAGAATTCCCTGCCAGATGGTGGGCGCCGCCCCGGGATGAAGCCCCCCTCCCTCCCCACTGAGCTGTCATGTCACTGTCCAGATGACGGATGACCGCTGTGTGTGTATGTAGGTAAGTGTGCGTGTAGGTAATACCGTAGTCACTGGAGTTCATCAGGGCCTAGTGGTGTGTGTGTGTTTGTGCGTCTATCCTTCCCCCTTTCCTCCCTTCTTTCCAACGATGACCTACCACTACCTCACCCACCTTTATAGTCAAAACAGACCTCCGCCCATCACGCACGCACGCACGCACACGCACATACACACACACCCCTGGGGTACAATACTTTTAGGATAACGACCACTTCTGCATTATTGATCCTGATCCCAACTCTGTTCCTCTGGATTAAAACACACACACACACACACACACACTCACACTCACTCACGGGGGTATTGCATCACAAATGATGATGTATAAATATCGACCACCAAATGTACCCCTGTCTGTTTGTGTGTGTGTGTGTGTGTGTGTGTGTGTGTGTGTGTGTGTGTGTGTGTGTGTGTGTGTGTGTGTGTGTGTGTGTGTGACTGTGAGTGGTTTTTATTATGTCTTTCATTTTGGATTTGAACATTTAGGGAATCTTATTTCATATAATATTAAGGAATAATAAGAGATTAATAAAAGTGAGAGTATTTTCACAAAAATGTATAGAAAAATGTATATTTTAGCAGTAGAGGACATTGACCAGTAGAAATGTAATTTATAATTAAAAAGTTTGTTTCATTTTGGCAAAAAAGTGACAACTTCCTTTGAAAGAACAAACTAGGTAGTTGGCTTGGAAAGATAATTTGTCTTGGGATTATTGAAATGTATGAACATTTTTATTACATCTAAAACAAGAAGACCATTAACACCCAGCTGAGGCCGGACGTCTAGAAATTGATTCGATTTTCAGAAAATAACTATATACTGTATTATATAATAAAAAGCAGTATGACGGTCTCAGATGGTCCTGACAAATTAAAGCTTAAACCTTCAATGCTTCAAATCTGCTTCGTCTTTGACGTTCCCTCCATTTGCTCACAAAAAAATAAATATAATAAAATGATACATACAAATAATCGTTTAGACGTGACCCTTCTTTCCCTCCGTGAGATGAAAGTCGCTCTGCGGTCCAATCGGCATTAATCCCACAGATCATGGGGATCTTTATTGATCCTACGGGGGGTGGAGGGGCTCCAGCCGACTGATGACGCCCCATTGGACTGTCAACCAATGGGGCGTCATGTACAGGGAGGTGAAGGAGGTGGTGGGGGGCGGTGTCAGGATTATTGTCTCCAGTGGGCCGTCGGCGTGCCACATTAGGGCCTATTGATCGGGCTCCATGGCCGGCGCTTTGTCGAGGAGCGCTTGGTACATCGATTGGTGACATGCCGACGGTGAGGGGGGTGTATGTAAGTAGGAGGTGCAGCTGGGAGGACGGGTGGAGGCTTAAAACAGGTGTTTGGACTGGATTTACTGACCGTTTCAAAAGATTTACGTGTAAGTGAGGGTTCATTATTCATTTCCTCAAGCTCCTACACATGGAACCCCAGACCCCCAGGAGCCTGGACCCAGAGACCCCCAGGAGCCTGGACCCAGAGACACCCAGGAGCCTGGACCCAGAGACACCCAGGAGCCTGGACCCAGAGACCCCCAGGAGCCTGGACAAAGAGACCCCCAGGAGCCTGGACCCAGAGACACCCAGGAGCCTGGAACCAGAGACACCCAGGAGCCTGGAACCAGAGACACCCAGGAGCCTGGACAAAGAGACACCCAGGAGCCCGGACCTAGTTTGTTCTCACACTGTTGATCCAGAAATCATATATTATAAATAACCATGTGGGGAAGATGTTTCTATAGCGTCTCCCCTTAAACTCCTGCTGGTCATCATCACCGTGCGTGTTGTTGTGAAGCATAAAACCTTGTTTTGAGAAAGATGATGGATCTTCTCACCTGTTTGGTCATGGAGTCGATCAGACGCACAAAAAGGTCCTGTTCTGTCCTGATGCCTGAACAATAATAAATGACAATCAGTGAGTTGGAGCAGAATTGACAAGCCTTCTGAAACGTTTATTTCCCACCAACACAAACAGACACACACGCACACATTAGCCTGTTATGCTTATTTTCTCTCAGTATGCAAACTAAAGGAGAGAATCCTAATAGCGTTCTGTAAATGAGATCTGTTATTATTTATGTCCCGGCAGTGTATTTATGTTTTCTGTAGCTCGTGTTGTCTCGTCGCGGCTACGCTAACACCCCCCCGTTCAGCAAAAACAAACATTAGTGCAGCTCCAGAGCTGTTTATTATTTATAGGCCGCTCCGCCTTTAACTGCCCCCTTCCCCCCCGCTGCCTCTTCTTCCTGGAGGATAACAAGATATCCTCGTTCTCCAAGAAATTAAATATCAATCGGGATTGCTCGTCTCTTATTAGCTACGCATCCGAGCGTAGATGTGGCACTTACACAACGTGGGGCGGAGGAGCACCTGTTAGCTATAATTCTATTCCACGCTGTGGGGGGGGGGGTCAGGGCCCGCTTCCCTCGCAGCTTCCTGTGCCTCCTAATTGACATGATTGACTCCCGGAGTGCTGAGCGACATAAATGGCGGCTATCCGTTGCAGACGAGGTTGCCTGCCTCTGTGCGATGCTAATGCTAACGCTACGATTTCTGGAGTGGTCTCGCACTCTCCCTCCCTCCTTCCCTCCTTCTCTCTCTATGTCTCTCTATCTCTGATGATAATATTAAAAAGTTCTTTCCAGCCTCACAGTTCACTTCCACTAAAAGTCTGCCGAGGTGACCTTTAATATAAATTCCTTCCTCCAGCAAAACTCTAATTCGTCCGCCGACCGCCGGCGGCCTCACCTGTGGGAGCCCCCCCGATCATTAGCTCCACTTCAATCAATCGAAGAGGCACACCTGACCTCCGGGCCGAACAAAGAGCCTGGCTGACCTACAGCGCTGCCATTTACAGAGGGAGACATTTAACTTCAGGCCGTCAATCACGGACGTCTCTCACAAATCGGGACATTGATTGGCGGGTCACAAATAGGGGCGGGACTAACGCCAACGACATTGTGTCTTCTAAATTTCGCCCGACCTCGAAGTTTGTCTCTAAAAGTTGGCTTGACTTAGTTCCATGTCTGTATAATATTATTAATATAATATTAAAAGCCCCTATAGTAGTAACTTTGTTTTCTTGTCTCAGTCAGTCAATCAGTGTTATTGATTACCTGGCGATAACAACGACAACCGTGTGCAAATGTACCACTAAGTTGTTTCATTTTACTCATTTAAAGAATAGACAGTTAGCTCGGCCCCGCCGAGTGTCTCCAACCCACAAACTGTAGTGGACGTCGTCATGGCGATACAAACAGGCGTATATCACGTTGTGACTCACCGTTGCTGTAGAGGAGCTGTAGCCTGTAGTGGATCCCGTTGTTGGTCTTCTCACCGTTGTACTCCTGTCACACAAACACACAAAGACACATTAATAGACGGTAAAATAAATGGGTTGGTTTCTATTGCTGCTGTGCGACCTTTGACCTCCGACACACAACAACCAGGTTGGCATGACGACGAGGCAGACGTCCGTCTGTAACTAACTCACTTCATTAGAGGCGGACAACAGGGGAGACAATATTTCATAAATGACTGATGAGGAGGAAGAGACACTTGTTGTGGTTGTTTGTTTGTTTGTTTGTTTTGCGACATTCGTGATGCATGATCTTGTGTGAAAGAGATAAACATCAGGTTCACTCTTGGTACGATTGATTAACACTAGTTAATTATTTAAGTTATACTAAATATAATGTTTACGTTGAAGAGAAGACCATATCGTGAGCACTTGTTGTTTGCATACGCTTATTTATTTATAAGTATTATATGAATATATATATATATTTTTCTATTTAGGATTCACTTCCCATGGTTACTGCTCAGTTTATTTGGATTTTGTTATAATTAGTTTTTCTCAGTAATTGCTGCTAAAAAAATCAATGATGTTTCTTTTCTCTCCCGACCCTCCCTCCCCATATTCCTCACCCAATCTCCCCCACCCCAATTCCCTAACCCCCTCTTCCTCCTCCTCATTGTCCTCCTCTTCCTCCTTCTTTTCTTCCTCCTCCCCCGCCTCTGCCTTTATATCTGCCTTTATTTCAGCTCTCCATTTTATTTATCTTTTCTTTTATTCTCCGTCAGTCGGTTGCTCGGTGCCAACTGTGCCCGGGAGTGTTGGCTCAGCCCCAGTGTGCGTTTGCGTGTGTGCGTATTTGGGGGTCTCGGGGTGAGAGACTAGAGGTCGAAGCAGAGGTGAAAGAGAGAGAGAGAAAGAGAAAGAGAGTGGGTGTAGAACTTTAGTGCCAACTGGCAGCCGATCAAACACCAAACACTCTTAAACCTGTCTGGTTATTTTCATTATCGTTATTATTTGTAGTAGTGGTAGTAGTAGTATATTAGTACTAGGGTTAGTGGTAGTATTGTGATTTATTAAAGTCTCTAAAACTTAAACACTGCTTTATTTCATTACTATTCATTTAATCATTAGTCTTATTATTGTCTTTTTGTGAAGTGCGAACAAAATGAAATTAAATACTGTTAAGAAAATGTTTCATTGCTTAATCAATCCATTATTAGTGTTATATTAAACATACATACTACAGTATATCTAAATATTTAGGTAACGGTTTTTAATCAAATCGTAGATTTGAAAGGTGAAGGTGTGAATCAACGGTCACCTTGTCCTTCTCCACAAAGTCCACGTAGGACGTCCTCTCGATCTCCACCGGCTGGCCCTGCCGGTCGTACAGCGCCAGCACGAAGTGGAAGAAGTTGGACTTGCGCAGGTTGGAGGGCGGCTGCTTCTCGAAGTGAGCGCGGGCCAAGCCGACGCCGCTGGAGACGCACCACGGAAACAAAGCTTCATTATAGAATCGTACACATGCATATGAATAAACTCACGGTGACAACAACGTGTCCTCAGAGGAGTTACAGGTGTCTGCAAACAATAATAAACACTTAAAACGGTCATGAGTGGTTGTAAAGGTATTATTATTAAACAATATGGTGTTCTGGAGTAAAATGACACAAATATCTTCTTTGCAGTGAGTAGAAAATATTGTGAACATTATATTCTTTATAGTGGATTAATGTATATAAATATGTATCTAATCCACATCGGTCGGTGTTTTAAGATGGTCGTAAGACCCAGAACTTTTTCTGCAGCTCTTTCCCTTTAACACTCATGAGAGACAATCCTCTCCCTGCAGTCAGGGAGGAAGAGGAGCGGAAGGAATATGAGGAAGAGGAATAAGTGGAGGAATAGAAGGAAAAAAGGAGAAGGGAGAGGAGGAGGTAGAAAAAGATGTAGAGGAAGCGGTGGAAGAGAAATAGGAAGAGGAAGAGAAGGAGATGATTTTCCTCCATACTTTGTCTATTACGTTCTTCATCAGCTGGACGTTAACTTCTACAGTTTTCAACCTGACGACAGGAAGTGATTTTTTGGACGAACTTCAACTCATCAACAACTACAACACCAGCAACAACAACAACAAAGGAGACAACAAACCAACAGCCAGCTGCTCTCTTCTACAGATACTACAGCAACTGCAAAGGAAGGAACTCAGTCCTTCTAGAACTCATTAATAGCACACTCAAAACGTTCAAAGATAAGACTCCAAAAATGTATCTTCAGTATCCGTGAGCGTTCATTAAATATCAAATACGCTGTAAAACACCAGAAACATCTAACACATTAATTTCACCGAATGACGAGTAAATTGAGCCACTAAAAGGGTTAAAAGGCTTTAAATAAACTACATATATTACTCTAATTAATAAAGCGTTCTTATGTTGAAGCTTAGAATTGGTTCCTGAAGGCAAGTAATCAAAAACATACATTTATTCTCATCTTATTCCTAGTTGGGGGGTACCCCAAGGCTCCATGTTAGGCCCATTATGTATTGGAAACTGTATAGCTAAGATACAGTATTAATATATCATTAATATAATTAATCAGACTTTATTCATAACAAATAATGGCTTCTGAAATCAAGTACATCATTTTAGTATAAAATAATAGATACAAAAATAATACAAATGCAGTTGTAATTCAAAAGGATTCCTTAGAATATTCAAATTAAATTAAAGTCTTTTTTCCTTTCCCGGGATCGAAATATTTATTGCCTAAGGTTGATTATGATATTATAATGAGGTCAGAGGTCGTTGTTCTTTTGATTCAATGCCACATGACTGACTTAGAATGGGGTTCAACAGCACAAGGAAAACCATAAAAAAAAAAAAAAAAACATCACTGAGTTAAAGTCTTTAGAACTCCTGAAATAAAATCGATGTTCCTGCAGGAGGCGACCTCTGCCCTCAGCCCGGAGAACCCCGGAGAACCCCGCAGGGTCCCTTAGAACAACAACAAACCAATGTTTTTACATCAATCTCATTTCCTAAAACACTTCATGATCAATATGAGTGCCCGGGCGTGGATAAATATTTATTCATGCTCTGGGTTTGTTTTTGGAAGCTCGCCCTCACTCTCTCGCCCTCTCTCTCTCTCCCTCTCTCATCCCCCCAGCCCCGCTCAGGGGTGAACTCCCCGGTGGCACATTAATACAGCCGTGACCTTTCTCCACCTCCATTACCGAGATGCTTAATGCCTCATTTGTAGGCCGCTGCATTGGACGCGGAGTTCCTTCTGACTCGCAGTGCTTAGGCCGTGGAAAAACTGTGAGGAGGAGGAAGAGGAGGACGAGGAGGAGGAAGAATAGGAGGAAGAAGAGGAGGAGGTGGAGTGCGGCTCAGGTGTGCGTCGGGCAGGTTGCAGTTTTGTTTATTTTGAAGGGATGTTAAGCAACACCTTCACTATCAGAGACTTCAACGACTTCCTGTAAGAACAACTCCTGAATAATGAAACGGGTAATACTACAAGTACTGTATTGAGACAACGTGTCCTCAGAAGAGGAGTTATAAGTGTCAACAAACAGTAACAAGCTGATTATTATCACCAAGGTGAATATTAACTATATATTTGTTCTTCATACATGAAGACTCAATGAAATCGTAATAAATAGTATTCCTGAAACAAGCCGATTGGTTGAAATGTTCTCGTTGCAACAGATATTTCCACCCAAAATATACACAGAAAACGAGGACCCAGAGGCCGCTTTGGATCAAATTTCTGTGTATTTGCATGAAAACACAAACGTGTGTTTTTAACTCAAACTAACCTGGCACCTGCACCCCAATTACCCACAACGCATTGCGGTCGCCCCGCAGTCCTCCACTCGGAAAAGCTCGTTAGCCTTATTATTATTATTTCAATTATGCTAATTGCGGCGGCATCCACTCGTCGCTGCGCCTCGTATCCGGCTGTTAGCACTTGGCACAAGGTGTAATAAAAACAGTATCGATGGCACGCGGCTCGCTGGAACATGCCCGGAGTGTAAATCACACGCCAGCAGCCGGAGAGGAAGAGACGAGGCTCACACACGCACACACACACACACACACACACGCACACGGAGGGAGTCAGAACAAACACAGGGCGCCGATCTGCACGTTTCCACCACAAAGCCTGAAATTAAAGGTCAGCGGGAGTCGTGTCGAGCACTCTGCAAACAATTACTGAGCAAGACAGCCGGTCCCGTGCAGTCGGTTCATATCCACACACACACACACACACACACACACACACAGCTCAATAAATTCACCGCCTGAATATTGCAATAAAACCGGGGAGGTTGATCTTTTCTTGTCTCAGATTAAAAGGAGGTCAGCCGGTGAACCGCCTCCGACTGGTCCCGAACAAACGGCTTTATTTTGAAACTCTCTTGAAGAGCTCAGAGGTTCTCAGGTTCTATCTTTCATGTTCAAGGTTCTCAAAACGTTTGGTCCTCGCTAACCCACCCGCCCCACACACACACACACACACACATCATGACATTAATAAACAGGAGATGGAGTGTGACCGCTGTTTCAGTCTTTACCCGGCTGGCCTGTCACACACACACACACACACACACACATGAATACACACACCAACCTAATGAGCCATACAGCGTACATACACACATACACACGTACACATACACACACACTGCCTGGCTGACTGCCAGGATGTTAATCAAATAAACGGTGGATGTTTAAATCAGATTCAGTGGGAAACCAACTCAGAGCAAACCCACCGTGACAGGACACAACACACACACACACACACACTATTTAGACACACACACACTTCAAGTTGTAGTTTCAGTCTATTTTAATCTCAAAATTAAGCAGAGCAGATTTCAAACCAGAACTGATACGACACATGGATGCTAACAGCCGTTAACCGATGCTAACAGATGCTAACCGATGCTAACTGAAACTCCCCCCATGAGAGCTCCTCCGTTTTATTCAATTTAGAATGCCAGCAGTCGACTTCCAACCTGTAGGATTGTGTAAACTTATATTTTAGCGTCTCTTACTTATTTATGAACTTTGTGAAAGGGAGAGTGAATCCGACACTGTAAATAAACAAATAAATACAGGGGAGCGTAAGACTTGGAGCTCGGCCTCTTTCCTCAAAAATAAAAAAAAGAAGTAAAATTGATTTTCTATTTCTGTGCAGAAGAGTCGAGGAGATTATATGTGTGAAGAATTAAATAACTATTCTTATATTCATCATAAACCTACAGTGAAATAAAGACTGAAGGAAACAACGTGACGTCACATGACTTTTTGTTTTTGACTCCCAAGCGTTGGATGTTAATGTGAACGTTCAGTATGAATGTAATTATTTCGGAAGACACACACACACACACTCCTCTCTAATTGCTATGGAAGCGGAGTTTGGACGGTTAAAATATGCACATATTGTTTATGTACAGTGTGAGTGTGTGTGTTGATTTATGCGTCGCTGCACAATTACCCACGAATACATTTTACCCAATCAGGCCACACACACACACGCGCGCACACACACACACACACACACGTTCACACACATACACGCACCTGTTTGGTTAGCTCTCATTAGCCGTGTAATATGAACTAATGAGTTGCTGCTGAAGCATTGTGGGAGGCTGTGTGTGTGCGTTATGTCCACCATCCTCTCCCTCTTCAGATTTCATCAATAAATCAAGTCAGTGATTGAGTTCATCAATAGATGTGTCCATGTGTTGTTCCGTCATCAAACAACAATAAACAGAAAATGCCAATCTATAAATATGGGATAACTAACTAACTAACTTAATTAGACTGGCAAGAAATCCATTGGTTTGTGAATGAATCATTACTTTAAGATGTGAGTGAGAAGCCATTGGAGAGTGATCACATGACCAAATCTGACGTGTAAAAGTATCAATCCAATTAGAGCATTAAGAAACTGTTGATCCGAGGATGCAGATTCGTCGGCAAAGTGCATTGTGGGAGGATTTTGGAGGCACGGCTGTCTGCTGTGGGTTTAGATGGCGGCGGGGGGGGGGTGACGCCCTCACGGCTGACTTCCATTTGTGCACCTTAATAGCGCGTGTCATTCCTAATTAGGGCAACCGGCGGCTCGATGCCGAGATGGCTGCTCCTGTCATGCTGCAATTATCAACAAATTAGTCTTTGGACTGAGGGGCTTCTGCACATGCACACTCCTTGTCCAGTGTGTGTGTGTGTGTGTGTGTGTTACTTGAGGTGTTTCGTGCATGAGAATTCATGTAGACAGAAGTTTTACAGACGTTCGACCTGCAACCGTTTGTTCTTCATCTTCAAACAAACCCACAATCACTGAATAACACAATAACATAAACACATGATAGCACACGTAATGTGATGATAAACTCAGATCAATGACATCGTTACCATTTAACTGCAGAGAAATGTTCAACATGAGCATCTGAATGAGAGCTTCT